ATTCAACAGATTACATCCTGTACAATCAGGATTTAGCTGGCTTCTTTACATCGGTCGATCAAAGCCGGTTTCTTTCAGCTTACAGCATCATGGTTCGATGGTACAGAGAGAAGAACCCACTACACTCTTCCAAATTCTTCATTGACCACTCACAGAAAGACCCCACACATCGAGTCCACAGAGGTAAAAGCAGACAAAAGCAGCAGGAAGCCTCCTCCGGCAACAAACTTTGCATACAATTACAACACATACCACAACTCATCATTGCAGTGCTCAGGCTCAACTATTTCACTGTCGGTACATCACTCATTGAGCAATTTCGTGGAGCACCTATGGGCTCGCCCTGCAGCCCAGCTTTATGCAACATCGTGGTTGCTGTAGAAGAGCAGTGTTGGCATCACACATACAAGCAACTTTTCACGAACCACAAGCATTTTCCAGACCACAACAAGCAGGAGCAAGCTTACTTTTTTGCTACCAGATACGTCGACAACCGCGTCCTTCTACTGCCTGCACAGCTGACCCGACTGCCTCCTTTTGCACAGCTTACTGACGCATCTTTCTACAAACCACCGGTTCAGCTTGAAACTGAACCGGCCAACATTTTCCTGGGTTTCGCCATAAACCCTCAGCACAGCAGCCTTACGCATCACTGCACTTTACACAAGGCGGATATTTTACACCCACAGTCGGCGACCTCTGTTGCAACACTTCGCAGCAGTTTTCAGGCCCGCACACGCATGGTACGCAGAGTGACAACACCATGCAGCGAGGCCACATCAGCCATTCGAGCCATGCGCGATCTGTACATCGCCGCCGGCTACACTGATCAACAGCTGTAAGCAAAAACACTGTGCCAAGTTGCAGTGCGTGCGTCCAGAGCCATGCAACTTTGCAACATGTGAGACGCCTTGTACCAACACAGTGTTTCCCGCAGCCATTTACAGGGACTAACTGAGGCATCATCATGTATAAAAGTGCCATGACTGGCAGATTGCAGCCGAGCCACAAAGCGCTGAGCGGCCGCCCTCGGCCATCCATCTCCAAGCACAGCAGACGCCGCAACGAACAGCCTGCTGTTGGCAGCCACACTCAACAGCCGGCGCCTTTACGCTCTCAGTTTCTACGTGTTGCAGAAGACGAAGATTTCCAAGATTACCGAGAGCAACACCAAGATCCGCAAGAACAGCAGGACGCAGCAGTGGCTGCACCGGCGACTCCGCCATTTCCACCTCCGCCTCATTCTGGTCCGGATTCATCGGCTGAGATGATTGAGTTACTAACACAGTTTCACAATTCGTTGCTTGAATCGAATGCCAAGCTGGAGCGCTTGATACAGCAGGCCATAACGGTGTTAACTACTCAACACGAAGCCACCACTGCCATTATGGCATCGTGCAAACAGCAACTTGATATTCTCGAGAGCCTTATGAGGCAAAACACACCAGACTGGTCCTGAATGTGCTGTTGAATCCGCTGGTATAAAAAGAGCCAGGTAGTGCACACCTCTTGCATTTGAACATATGTTGCTTGCGGATATGCCCCATAACTTTGCCTTCTGAAGTTTTATGCCTCAGAGTGACACCTATTGGAATCCCGACATAGAGCCATGAGCGAAGCATCTTTTCCGACAAACACAGCGACTACAGCTTCACCGCCCATCGATGAGGCACGACGTGAAGCTCTCTCTGAGGCCATCATGGAGATTTTGACACAGCATCGGGACTATGATTCGGAAACTGGAAGCGAACCTTCCACATTCAGTGACGGGGCGCTACGCGACCAATTAGCCGAGTTTATTCTTCAAACAACCCGGCAGATCACAGAGCTAAAGCAACGAGTGGAACGACTCGAAGCTTCGCAGCAATAGGTGATCAACCATGTTCATACCGTCATCGGGCGCTTTGCAGCGGACGGTGAAAACAATGATAGTCGTTTTTGCCAATTGTTACAGTCAGTGCACTCACTTCACATATGTTTGTTATGCAGCGATTGATGCACTATTTCCCGCAGCATTTTGAAAAACAACCAGTTGTGTTAGCACCATGGAACAACGCACCAGATCGCGATCTCCGACGGCATCACAATGGAGATGGCATTGGGCCACCAACGGCTCTTCATGGTGGCGAGAGTACTTTATCGCATCTCAAGAGTGGATACGAAAGCATTCGGAGCAACCTGATCAGCGTCCGACATCAACGACTCCTACCCAAAAGGAGACAGTATCTACTACATCAACTCCTACATCCAACAAGCGAAAGCGATCAAGAACTCCGTGAGCAGCATTGCTGAGTTGACAATTAGATGCACATTTGCTGCCCCCGGCAGCCAACAATCACACAGCAAAGCTGTGCTGCGAACTCCATCATATCTGATGAGGTTCAACATTAAGAGCATCCTGTCGAAAGTTCATGCAGGTCTGCGCGGTTAATCAATTGATGTCTCTGTGTACCTCTCTCTCTCTTCTGACGATCAGCGTATGCACATGCCTCAATGCAGTTGTGACTCCGCAGCCATTTCTCTGAACTACAGTTGCTGAAACACATTAGGACAGCATCGCACACAGATGGACGAGGATGACGACAGCAGCCTATGGGGATCCGAAGAGATTGATGCCTTCTTGAGGAAGGATGACACCACCACATCCTCCCATGCAGTCAGTCACACACACAAGCAAAAAACAAAGCACACAACGAGGACAAAAAAGAAGAAAGACAACAAAGACAAAAAGGACAAAACAGTCATGAAAACAAAGAAAACACGCAACAACTCACCACCATCCCAATCCACAACACAACAACGACGCAAACACCTACACACTACAAGACGAAAGAGGACACGGTCTTCGCATTCAACATCATCAGCATCACCTACGGCAACGTCACACCTGGCTGAAGAACAACACCGATCTCCATCTCGAGATCCTTGGTCTTCTGACTCGATTGCACCTTATGATATTGTGCATCCTACTATTCAGCACAAGCGGTCAAAAACCGCTTGTGCTAAAATGCTGGTACGTGCAGGATTCAGGTGTCGCTGCCATTTCAAGATCATGAGTGACTGTCCCAACAGACTCGCTGTTGGACCCTAATTTTCAGGACGGATGAGTGCTGCAAGATCCGCTTCGCACGACAAAAAAAGCCTGCGCATAGGAACGTCAGGATGCCACCGCTTTGAGCACACATCATGTACATGTTGTTTTGCATTCAGTGTTCATGCTTTTGTCGGTTGGTAGAAGCAAACGTATGACAAAGCGAAAGGCTGCCGAGGCCGGCCTTCCATGGTACTCTACTTGAAGCATGTACGCCCCATTTGGGGCTGTGTGTGTGTGAACCTCCCTAGCACATGGGAGCAGAGGGTCACTCCTACACTGTTTGCAATTTTTGCTTTTCAACATAATCAGACATTGGACATTTACCAAATCAACTGTTGCAGGGGCATTGGGCACTCCTTGGCAGACCCAATGCAACGAAGCTATGCCATGGAGTGGGAAGCAGTTCAGGACGCTGAACTGTGTACCTGCAAGCTGCGCCCCCTGAGGCAGCCAGATTAGAAAACGCTGGCCCCCTGAGGCAGCAAGATTAGTGCATTTACGGTTTCCACCTTTTGCTTGAGCATAAAGCTTTGCACGTTTGCCGCAATCTGACAAACTTTTGCAACAACATGCCTCTCTTTTTTCTCTTGCACTCGTACTCTTGGCCGAATCCATCAGTGTGTGTCTGTGTATGTGTGTCTGTTTGTGTGTGTGTGTGTGTTTGTTTGTGTGTTTGTTTGTGTGTTTGTTTGTGAGTGTGTGTGTGTGTGAGTGAGTGTGAGAGTGTGAAACTGTGAGAGTGTGAGTGTGAGAGAGTGAGAGTGTGAGTGTGAGAGAGTGAGTGTGAGAGTGTGAGTGTGAGAGTGTGAGAGTGTGAGAGTGTGAGAGTGTGAGAGTGTGAGAGTGTGAGAGTGTGAGAGTGTGAGTGTGAGCGTGAGAGTGTGAGTCTGAGTGACTGCAAACCGATCGAAACGAGGCAGAACCGGGGTATGACAACCATGGTGAGTGTGAGTTTGCGTGTGCATGTGCGTGTGAGTGTGCGAGTGTGCGAGTGTGCGAGTGTGTGAGTGCCCGTGTGTGTCCGTGTGCGTGCGTGTGTGTGCGTGTGCGTGGGCGTGGGCGTGGGTGCGTGGGTGCGTGGGTGCGTGGGTGCGTGCGTGGGTGCGTGGGTGGGTGGGTGGGTGGGTGGGTGTTTGGGTGTGTGTGTGTGTGTGTGTGTATCTGTGTCTGTGTCTGTGTCTGTGTCTGTGTCTGTGTCTGTGTCTGTGTCTGTGTCTGTGTCTGATTGTGTGTCTGTACGCTTGAGAGTGTGCATGTGGCTGATTGCGTGTGTGTGTCTGTGTGTCTGTCTGTGTTTGCGTGTTTGTGTGTTTCTGTGGTTCTATGCTTCTGTGTTTCGTGTCTTTGTGTGTTTGAGTGACTGATTGTGTGCATGAGTGATTCTGTGTGTCTGTGTCTGCGTGTGTCTCATTGTGCGCGCGTGTATGTCTTTGTGTGTGTGTGTGTGTGTGTGTGTGTGTGTGTGTGTGTGTGTGTGTTTTTGTGTGTGTGGGTGTGTGTGTGTGTGTGTGTGTGTGTGTGTGTGTGTGTGTGTGTGTGTGTGTGTGTGTGTGTGTGTGTGTGTGTGTGTGTGTGTGTGTGTGTGTGTCTGTGTTTGTCTCTCTGTCTCTGTAGTCTGTCAGCAGAATCAACAGGACCACCGAGACAACCACCAGGCACCAACAACAAGAAAGCACCACAGCCACAGCAACAACAGCAGTCAGAACAACCACGGAAGCAATAACAAAACCGTGTGTTTCAGCCTCCCACGTGCACTGGCTCTGCACATGTGCTTCTGCCTGCTGGCGAGCTGACAGCCCTGCCTGCGACTTTGGAGGCTCCAGTGCAAGGATGACGAAAGCCCAGAACATCCGAGAGCTTTGGCTCTGCTGCACGGAAATCAGTCTGTGGATGCCAGATAGTTACGATGTTCTTCGCCACTAGCTGGTTGCGAAAACTGCAGACCGAGAATCTGCAGACGTGGAGCCTGGAAACCGAAGATCGGGAACGTGTGCTGGAGTGGCTCGTGCTAGGCATTGTTGGAAGCACCATCTACAAAGACGAAGGTGTCTGGATGTCCATCATGGCCGTGGACTCGTGCCACGATGCTGTGCTGGTCCGTGACCACGAGAGCTCCTGTTACATAGCAGTGCAGCTCCAGAGACTTTTTGCTGGTTCACTAGGAACAATGGATTGACTTGTGCTGCGATTCAAAGAAAGCCGTCTGTGCATCATGGCATTTCATGAGTGATTTCTGCTGTGCACTGTAGACTGTCATGCATTAATAGGTCGCAGCAAGCAGGGTAAGCTTATCAGTTGTGTCTCGCTTGCAGGGCATTTTGCTCGCAAGCAGAGCATACAACTTCGAAGCCGCACCTTTTATCGTAATCACGGCCGTGGTCGCTCGTCCGGACGTACAACAACTGGAAGCGGCATGGAGCGAGCCCAATCAGCTTGTGCCGGGAAACGAGAAGTTCGAGCCTTTGGGATTGCTGAAATGCTATCGTGTACATGTAGGACACGATTATTTTCCGCATCAGGGATATGCTTGTTACTTGTCGAGGGAGCTGGGCCAGGGAGCTCGCCTTTGGCGATGCGAACGAGGTGGTCTCCTCAAGTGGATGGTCACTCGGCCAGCTGAGGTCCGGGCCGTGGCAGTGTCCTTGACCGGCCGGCTGAGGTTTGGGTTTCTGGTTGTCCAGGCCCGGATGCTCTCCGGAGCACAAGTCTGGTCCGGCACGTACCCGGCCGAGCAAGACGTGAAAGTGTCGGCTGTGAGCACCGCCATCCGGCGCAGCATGCTGGTGGCTGGTCGCATCCAGTCGACACACGTGTTGAAGGTCATGGGCCACAAGCTCCTTGTCCACGGCCGCAAGATTTGGAGCTGCAACTGGTCCAAGACCATGGCAGCCAAGAAGCTGCCCAAGAAACGGCTTTTTCGAAAGACGGATCCGAGGTTTCTCCGTCTGGCCCAGTCCGTGCCACTGTTTTGATTTTTGATTCAGGAGAGGAAAGATCGAGTGCTCAGTGTGCAGGTTGTGTAACTACGTACATGTCTATGTATATATACATGGTTGTCCTGCAAGAAATGCATGCCGGAATCGTGAGTTGTTCGCAGGCAGGGCTTTCATAGCTCGCCACAGCAGGACGACTTTTGAGGGATTCCTGCTTTCCTCTCGCCATGGCAGCCGCCTTCTTGAACCAGCTCCATGACATGCTCCACAAGCAGAAGCCGATCATGGGCGATCACTTCGACGGCATGCTTGCTGCACAGAAAGACTGTGCCGTGCGAGCCATCTCGCAACACAAAGTGACCACGCAAGAGGCAGCTGAGCTGTGCAGCTTGATCCAGCAAGGGCCCTGGAACGAGAGCCAAAAAAAGGAGCTTGGAAAAGCAGTCTCCAACTCCGTCTCGTCGGGGATGATGGCTGCTGGCAAGAAGAAGAAGGGCAACCAGACCCAGGAAGTCGACAACTTCTTCTGCTTTTTGTCAGCTGAAGACAAGCAAGTCCTGGCCGAGGCCAGTGCTGGAGTGCACTCAAGGTGCAATCACATCGCCGAGATCATGGAGAAGATGGGCCTGTATTGGCCGTCGGAGAAGGCGACAGGTCATATCGTCTCAACGATGGCAACACTGCAGTCAGCTGGCCTTCAGTCTCCTGATGATTTTCACGGGGCTGTGAAGAAGCTGAAAACCATCATCAAAAGCAGGCTGAAAAAGAACAAGGATGCCAAGGACCACGAATTTGTGGCCGTGTACAAGGAGCCAGCCATGTTGCCCGAGATCTACCGCAGTCACTTTGAAAAGGCTGAAGCAGGCGAGCTCCCTGCTTCGAGCCTTGTTGCCCATGGTCCTCTGCGAGGCAGTCACAAGTCCCTCAGCAGCAGCAGCAACAGCAGCAGCAACATCGTTGGCAACAACATGATGAACCACAGCCTGATGAAGAAGATGATGGCCGACGGCAACGGCATGAGCATGATGGGACTGATGAGCTGCATATCGACATGCATGCAGCAGTTTCAGCAGCAGTCCAGCAGCTTGCAACTGCCAGGCTTCAAGTTGTTGGGAAAAGCCGGCGGCAACGAAACCAGTCCAAATCGGGCTACAAGCATGATGGCGACGCCGAGCCCACCGCACGACTCTCCAGAGTCCAGCCATCGTGTTTCAAGCCCGGTGCAGCCTCATCATCAGCAGCTTGCTGTGGCCGCATGCCCGGTGCAGCCTCATCAGCAGCAGCTTGCTGTGGCCGCATGCCCGGCGCAGCCTCACGATCAGCAGCTTGCTGTGCCCAAGGCTGGGCAGGAGCCTGTGGGTCCGGCCGAGCAGGCTCGTCAGACGCTTGCTGCATGGAATGCAAACAAAGCGGCAGCAGAGGGAGATGAGGAAGATGAGGAGACTGAGAAGCCCCGGAAAAAGCCTGCCGCAAAGCTCCAGCAGACGAAGAGTGTGCTGCCGAAGAAGAAGCCGGCAGCGAAGGCGAAGTCGCAGTCCCAGCCCAAGCTGAGCATCAAGAATCTGAGCATGAGCAAGAGGTTGAAATTGCGACCCAACGGCTGCGGCAAATGCCGCAACCGACCGGGCTGTTGTCCGTCGTGCTTCAAGAAGTGATTTTTGTTGGCATGCAGACATGACATGTGTCTCTGTATGCGAAGTGTGCAGTCTATATCTATGTAGATGTATATACAATCTATATAGGAACATGTATGCATGTCTATATGCCTTTCTTGCAGACTGTACAGGTGACTTCTGCAGTGATGGCCGTATACACAGACGGCAATGGCCGTGCACGTATACGGCAAGAAATGGGGACTGCAGAGACATCCTGCACCGTCTCGGGTCTATATATGTTTATCTGTGGTGCCATGGTGCACCATGTTCCATTCACCCGGGGTTTCAGTGCCATCAGCCTCAACGAACTTTGTGCACGGACAGAACAGTCTCTATGCCGTGTGCACGGAGGCTTGCATGGCAATCTGGTGTTATATGCAGCGACTTAGGATTCGACTGAGCCGCAAAATGTGTGGTTTGCCCGCATGCACATGTGTGCACGAGCGATGTGGATGATAGCTTCGACAGCTTGCATGATGGCCAAAGGATCATGTCCATGTGTGGCAGAGTGTATTTTAGGGTTGAGGGTTGAGGGTTTAGGGTTTAAGGGTTTAGGGTTTTATAAAGTTCGTGTTTGTATGTACTTTATACACTGTACCAAAGTATATATAT